ACAATCTGCATGATTTGAGGTACGTAGAGCGCTAGATATGTATTACATTTTTTAAACTTAAAGGGATAGGTCACCCAAAAATGAAAAACCAAACAGTTTGGGGTGAGTAAATGAAGACAGAAATTTTATGGGTGAGCTCCATTTAAAGGAGTAGTTCACTTTTGAAAAAAACTTTTGCTGATAATTTACTCGCCCCCATGTCATCCAAGATTTCCATGTCATTCTTTCTTCAGTCGAAAAGAAATTAATGTTTTTGATGAAAACATTTCAGTGTTTTTCTCCATGTAATGGACTTTACTGGTAACCAAACGGTTCAAGGTCCAAAAGACAGTTTCAGAGCTTTAAACGACACCAGACGATGAATAAGGGTCTTATCAAGCGAAACGATCGCTCTTTAAAAAATAAAAATAAAAATAACAAAGTTTAAGTTTTATGAGCTCAAATGCTCGCCTTGCTCTGTTCTGTGACGCACGTTCTTGACTGTCCTGTTCGAGCTCGTTCATCAAAATGAACAAATCTTTTTCCGAGTCATTTGGTCCATTCAACGAACGAAACGAATGAATTGACTCGGAAAAAGATTTGTTAATTTTGATGACCTTATTCGAACAGGAGAGTCACGAACTCGCATCACAGAACAGAGCATGGCGACCATTTGAGCTTAAACTTGTTTTTTTTTTTTTTTTAAATGAGCAATCGTTTCGCTTGATAAGACCCCTTATTCATCGTCTGGAATCGTTTAAAGCCCTTTGAACAGTTTGCACTGAAACTGTCATTTGGATCTTTAACCGCTTGGTTCCCACCGACAGAATGTTTTCATCAAAAACCTTAATTTCTTTTCGACTGAAGAAAGAAAGACATGGACATCTTGGATGACATGGGGGTGAGTAAATTATCAGCAAAAGATTTTTGAAAAGTGAACTACTCCTTTAAGGTTAAAAGTTCCCAAAATAACAAAAGCACAAAGTGCTAATTATAGAAAAGCTTTGTGATCTCTGTTCTGTATGAGTGGTCTTTTCTTCAACCCACTTGCTGCAAGTCAGTGTTGTTGAATTAGCAATGCTCTCTATAGAACCATATAAGCCCCTGTTATCTGTTACATGCCCGGCAGCCTGCAGGCTACAGCCCAAGCGAGCCTCCTGTGTCCCGCGTCTGCTGTCCAGCGCTGCCCTCTAAAATCACAACCGTTGTGGATTTCTCTGGCTTTGCTTGGGCAGAAGGGCTAGGGAAAAGCAAGCTTCTGATTGGCTGGACGTCGGTAGAGAGGCTTAAATTGGACAACAGAGGCAGAAGCTCTTCTAGAATGATAGTTGCACTAAAAGCCACAGGGTGTGCTAAGGTTGTAAATACACAGGCCGAGTCACAGATGGGTAAATCACACTTCAAATCATTTCAAATTGTTTTGGTGCGCTGCCCATATTAAGTCACGGCTTTCTCGCGAGAACGTCGACAGGCTTTTGCAACAATTATAGCGCGCTTTTGTGTCTGTGGAGGGGTTTTTGGGGAACAAATTAATTCTGAAAGACTCATTCAGACAGAACAGAGCTCAGCGGAGGGGAAGTGAGCTGTTGGCGCCGACATCCCCTGGCAAACCGCAGGAATAATGATAAAAAAAAGAAACGCGAGTGTGCAAACAAACAAGCTAAATCGCATGATTACACCAACAAAGCAGCAGTTTTAGGTTGAACGTATCCCTCTTGCGGAACATGACGGGGATTATGACTCACTAAAACGCACTCACAGGTTCTTTCCCCCCCAAAATAAGGTATAGTCACAGCCAGGGTCACAATGTTTCTTTAATTGTAGCACTTTACTATTTCTGCATTAGTACACAGCACCGCTGGTGACTCATCGCTTTGAGATGGCATGGTTAAATTGAGCAGTAAGTCTATTCCAGTGGCAGGTGTGGGAGCGAGATGCAGCCTTCTCCATAACCTTTGTAGTAGATCTCATTTGAAGTCTATTAGCATCCTTCTACTCTAATCTTAACGCGCGAGACGTTGTTGTGTGCTCATGCAATATCTATGTTTGTATGCGTTTTTGAGCGTGCCTGCGTTTACGGCCTTTGAGCAGTCATTTAGTTGACGCTTTTATCCGAAGAGATTCACGACAAATTACAGTGACAAGCCCCCTGGAGCAACCTGAGGTTAAAAGAATAGTTCACACAAACATTCGTAGGTATTGTTTATGCAAAAACATACGCTTTTCTTCTGGGAAATGCTAAAATAGGTATTTTGGAGAATGTTCACACTGTTCTTTTACAGTATAAAGAAAACAGTAAGTCTGTTAAGAATAATGACTTCAGTTTCAGTTTGTTCTTTATGTAAAGATATGGATGGCTTGATGAAAAATTATAAAAAAATTCTATTGAGAAATAAATTAAATATGCAACAAAACAACAACAACAACAGAACCTAGAATGCACTGTAAAAAAAATATTGATGGTTTAACTTAAAAAAGTAAGTAACCTGGTTGCCTTAAAATTTTAAGTTCATTGAACTGGAAAAAGTGAGTTAATACAATGAAGGAGATTAATTTAACCATCAGAAACTCAAAATTATATGTTATTTGAACTAAATAAATTATTTAAGTTGATTTGACAAAAGAAAAAATGTTGTGATTACTACACTGTAAAAAATATTGTTGGTTTAACTTAAAAAAGTAAGTAACCTGGTTGCCTTAAAATTTTAAGTTGATTGAACTGGAAAAAGTGAGTTAATACAATGAAGTAGATTAATTTAACCATCAGAAACTCAAAATAATAAGTTATCTCAACTAAATAAATTATTATAAAGTTGATTTGACGAAAGAAAAAATGTTGTGATAACAAATCTTGAAAATATTTTTTACAGTATGGAAATAACATAAAAGATAATAATAAGGTATAAAATGATAGAATGACAAATAAATTGAACAAATTAATTAAAATAATGAACTTAACAAAATAAAAAGAACAGAAAAAATAAAAATAATAAAGAGAATATCATGTCAGAATACAAAAATCAAAAAAAAAAAAAAAAAAAAAAAATCAGTTGGATTTCTAGGTCAATGCACTTATGATGGTGGCTATAACATAATCAGAATTAAATTTAATCAAAAAACAAAAAAGTAACACAATTTAAATGAAAAGCATCAACATAAATATAAGGAATTAATAAAAAAATAATAGCATAACAAAAATGACAAAATAAAATGAATAGCATAAAATAAAATAAAATAACTGAGTTTTGTAAACGTCATTGTTTCTATTAGACATAATAGTGTGATTTCTAGTGCACATATGATGGAGGCTGAAGAAAACTGAAGAAAGAATGGAGCAGAGAGGACAGAAAAGAGGACTAGAGTGACAGTGATGGAGAGAGAGGGAGAGAGAACAGGGGGACAATTAGCATTGCTGTGGCCGTTTGTTTGACTAATTACATGTGAGTGATGTGACGTGGGGTTATTAATGGGGTTATTAATGGGATTCCTGCTGTTTAATGAACATGTCGCACTCCTTTTGTACAAGCAAAAGGAAAGAGACTCTGCTGATCACAGACTACAGCATTAGACTGCATTGATATACACCAAAAAAACGTTAGCTTTTAGGGTTTACATGTTTTCACTTGCCAGAATAAATGTTGCAGTAACGAATGAGTCAAATTTTTTAAATGCATGTCTCATCCCACGTCTTTTGACCATACGTCAACATCTGTCTTTTTAGGGTACCCTTAAATGTCGGTTAGATGACGTTATCGGATCTAGACCTAAACCTACCCCATCACCTAACCGACGCTAAAGGTAAAGCGTCAGTTGTATGACGGCCCGCGATCGTTACGTATAACCGACGTTTAAGGGTACCCTAAAAAGGCGGATGTTGACGTATGGTCAAAAGACGTCCCAAGACGTCAGTTATGACTTCTTGGGATGAGACTGTGTTATCATTTAATAGGAAAGCAGTCACATGGTTCATATAGGCCTTATGCGGCAGAGAAACAAGCATGCAGTCATCTCTAGAATTTTGTGTTTGAGCAATTAGCAGGTGAAGTGTATTTACTTATCGTAGAGTTAACGCAAGTTTTCATGAGCACTGTTACGTTTGAAGTGGAAGTCATAACAAATGTCAGTATAGATTTTATATAGTATAGTATAGATCTTAACCCGACCAAAACCTGAAAATTGGCTGCATGTAAACCCTACTTCATATTTAAGACATATGGTTATGAAGGTGTCATGTCAGTTTTATGCACACCCCTTCAAGTAAAGTGTTACCAACTATAATAGTATATAAATAACACTAAGTAAGCAGTACATTAGTTTTTGGAAGAGTCCCTTGTGTAGCTGAACAGACCATCCAGAATTGTGTCAAAATGGAAATAAAAATGATCTGTGGGTGTTTTTTTATTTTGTTTTAGTAGTTAAAAGTCAAGCCTTTCACACACATTTGTTCTTTCCACACACATATGCACGACAAAATGGATTTGCGGTCCTCCGTTGAACACAAATAAATTCTCCCCATTGGCTTTTATATGGCGTATAATTGAAACCACTAGAGTTTGATTTTGCCCTCTGAGAGTCATTGTATATTTTCAAGCGAGATGGTCCATATTTATGAATTCATAAATCTAAACGGTCGCACACGCAGAAAACAAGATCATCACGACGCCAATGAGAGCGCCAATGGCTTTCCGTCCCATCATGTGTCCTTGTAGATGATCTGCATCTGTAAGCTATTCTTATGGAATAATGATGCTGTCATACATCACTACAATGATGATAATGCCGATCACGATAACGATTATGATCAAAATTGTCGCGAATGGTGGTAGTCTAAATAAAAATTATACTGCAATCATGACATTTTGTTTGATGTTGTTTTTACTTTGAAGCCTGCAGTTATGGTGTTTTAAGTTTGATTTATCGATCTCAGCAGTGTGCTGATTGGGTTTAGCTTCGGTTCATACATGTAAATCCCCCATGGATTGACTTTTATGAACCCTTACAGCACACACTCTTACCCAGAATTCCTTGTAACAGCAGGAGACTTCTCCAGCAGTTATGGGTACTTTTTTTTGACAAGGGCACTCACAGTTTGCCACTTCTTTCAGGTTCAGGAACGCATGCAGGAGAAGCAAGGAGCTCTGAGAGGTGTAGAAAAAGAAAAGATGTTATCACAAAAAATAGACTTCAAGCTTCTCTGGTTTTAACATGAAAAATCACAAACACTTCATGGCGAGAGGACGCCATAAATATACCACTCGAGGGCAAAAATACTTTTTTGGAGTGTTTCCAATTTTGTGCTGGTAAGAGTTCTCATATTCTGTTAGACTTTTAAAAACATTTATGATTAACCTGCTTAAAGTGTAACCAATTGTGATGACGTCAGGCAAATTTGCATGGTGATTTTTTTTTTCCCGGTACTCATACAGTAGGTTGCAGTTACACCATTAACGAAATAGTTCACTTTTACTAAAACCCATGTCATCCAAGATGTCCACGTCTTTCTTTCTTCATTTGAAAAGAAATTAAGGTTTTTGATGAAAACATTCCAGGATTTTTCTCCATATAATGGACTTCAATGGGTACCAAAAGGTTCAAGGTCCAAATGAGAGTTTCAGTGCAAACTGCAAACTGTTCAAAAGCCTTTAAACGATTCCAGACGATGAATAAGGGTCTTATCAAGCGAAACGATTGGTCATTTAAAAAATAAATAAAAACGTTTAAGTTTTATAAGCACAAATGTGTGTTTATGAGTCTCCTGTTCGAACTCGTTCATCAAAATTAACAAATATTTTTTCGAGTCATTTGGTTGATTCAACGAACGAAATGACTCGAAAAAAGATTAGTTCATTTTGATGAACGAGTTCGAACAGGAGAGTCACAAACGCACACCACAGAACAGAGCAAGGCGAGCATTTGTGCTTATAAAACTTAAACTTTTTTATTTATTTTTGAAATGAGCGATCGTTTCGCTTGATAAGACCCTTATTCATCGGCTGTTGTCGTTTAAAGTCCTTTGAAGCTGCACTGAAACTCTCATTTGGACCTTGAACCGTTTGGTTCCCAATGAAGTCCATTATATTGAGAAAATCCTGGAATGTTTTCATCAAAAACCTTAATTTCTTTTCGACAGACTTGGACATCTTGCATGACATGGGGGTGAGTAATTTATCAGCAACAGATTTTTTAAAAGTGAACTACTCATTTAAGTAGCGACCAGAATCTGTCTTTATGACTGATTTATTTGAATCCTTCATTAAACTGATTCGTTCAAAAACACAGATTCATTGAGGAACTAAAAAAGTGACAGACTGAATTCAGATTAGCATAGAAACAATAAAACTAATATGTAGTATTCTACTTCAGATTTATCCACTGTGTTTAATGAGTCAGAGAATCATGAACTTAATCGATTTGTTCAAAACACTGATTCTTTCAGAAAAAAACTAGTGAACCAGCGAACCATTATCTTAATCGATTTGTTCAAAAACACTGATTTATTCTGGAATAAAATCTAGTGCCTGTCTTGAGTGAGTCGGTGAATTATTCCATCAAAAGATTCATTCAAAAAGAATGAATTCAGCCTAAGTGTAGTATGATTGAATGTTATTCAGACACTGCCTGAATGAGTCATTGAATAATTCAGTCAGAGACACCAATTCATTTAGGAATGAATCAAATTGTGTTTTGCTCGAGACAAAACAGTTAATTCTGGGATCATTTGAAACTATTATCATTGGAGCACAAATATGCAAAAACTCTCAATATCGTGTTTGAAATGTAAATGATAGATTTGAACTTTTTGAATACTGTTTGTAGACATTTAACCAATATCACACTCGCAGATGTTGATTTACAGAATACCGAATATACTAAATATTGCCACATTTAATTTACACAGAGACAAAAACCTGAGCTTTCCTGAGGAAAAGCCAATCTAGTTAGACTCATCCCTCAGTTTGGAAAAATGAACAAGAAGTGTATTTACAGTAATCCACTTACAATGTAAGCCAAGCAGGGAAACAGGAGCAATAAACTTTTAAAATATGCAACTTTCACAGTATCATGGCACTCAAACATAAGGTTGAACCATTTTAATGAGTGTTGTGTCTGTTCCAGGAAGTTCTTATGGGGATATTTCATGTCTTAAGAAAGTGTAAAATAGCACTTCGCCAGCATGTCATCCTCAATTAGGGCTCAAAAAGGTTGTGGCAAACCAGAGTGCACTTAAAAGTGAGTGTGCTTCTCCCAGTTGGTGGTCAAGGATTCCTTTCACAAATAGTTGAAGGGAAACCAGCTAAGTCTCTTTTTCCTTTCTTTCTTCAACCATCACCCAAACACACACATATCTATTTTACTCTTCATTAGCGGGTGAAGAGTAAACTGCATTTCTAATCAAGGAGAAATGAGAAGAGGCGCTGAGGTGAGACAGCAGATAATACTATCGTTGGTTTCCCAGCACTCCCCTCTCGCTCTCACCACAGGGCTGTTTTACATTCACACCACATCACCTAGCAGAAGAAGCACTAGTCATGTTATGAGTAAGGCAAACCTCTCTTTCTCTCTCACACACAGACAGAATTTGAAGGAAATTGACAATAAAGGGCATGGGTGTGTACACACTTGGGTTAAGCAGAGGCCCTGTTCACACCTGGAATTAAGGGAGTCACGTTTACACCTTTTATTTTAATCCATCTCTTTCGTCCACATTCAACCATTTCTATCCTGATTTCTACGAGAGGAGGATCTATGGGTGAGTAATAATAGACGAAATAAGCTAACATGCTTTCGTTTCTGCTCTGAGAGCCGCAAAACCACGCAGAACGCAGTGTGTGTGTTAGAAATCAGGAATGGTGCACTCTCAGAAAAAAGGTACAAAAAAGCTGTCACTGGGGTTGTACCTTTTCAACAGGTAAACTTGTGTCCATTTTAGGTGCTAATAAGTACATTTTAGGTGCTAATATGTACATTTTAGGTTCTAATAAGTAAATTGTAGGTGCTAATATGTAAATATTAGGTGCCAATATGTACATTTTAGGTGTTAATATGTACATTTAAGGTGCTAATAAGTAAATTGTAGGTGCTAATATGTACATTTTAGGTGCCAAAATATATATTTTAGGTGTTAATATGTCCATTTTAGGTGCTAATACGTAAATTTTAGGCGCTAATATGTAAATTGTAGGTGCTAATAATTACATTTTAGGTGTTAATATGTAAATATTGGGTGCTAATAAGTACATTTTAGGTGCTAATATGTACATTTTAGGTGCTAATAAGTAAATTTTAGGTGCTAATATGTACATTTTAGGTGCTAATAATTACATTTTAGGTGCTAATATGTAACTATTAGGTGCTAATAAGTACATTTTAGGTGCTAATATGAAGAGTTCAGATGCAAAAGCCTCTAAATGCCATTTGAAATTTTCTTCTTTAATGATGATTTTTATCAAGCTTGTATATTTAAGTTCAGTGATTTCACTTAAATGGCAATGATAATTACCTTATTAATTGTTATTTAAGTGAAATTACTGAACTTAAATATACTAGTTTGATAAAAATCATCTTTAAAGACGAAAATTGCAAATGGCATTTAGAGGCTTTTGCATCTGAACTCTTCATATGTAAATTTTAGGTGCTAATAATTACATTTTAGGTGCTAATATGTACCATTAAGGTACCAATATGCACCCTTTAGGTACAAAAGTGTATCTTTTGAAAAGGTACAGCCCCAGTGACAGCTTTTGTACCTTTTTTTTCTGAGAGTGTGAGAGAACATTGAGGTTGGTATGTTTTTTTGTCTTTAAACCAAACTTGGGTCTCTGGTGAAAGTTTAAATCCAGTCTGGCTAGCACGCTTCCCATAATCTTTTCGTATTATGCTTGGTTCAGATTACACGATTTTTTTTTTTGTCTGTTACGATAGTCACTGTGGCAGATCACGCGATTTGGCTCCTAAAATCTTGTCGTGTCGTGGACAAGACATGTCAGACTACACGTTACTTCCTGACCAGTCATTGCATGCTCCTATTGGTCAACCTCATACAAGTAATTTTAAAGGTTCTATGGCATTAAAGCAACTTTTAAAAGTTCTTCTTCAACACCAAGCTATAAATCTCTTAGCAAGACCTTTATTTTTATATGTTTGGTAAAGTTTGACTCTGTGAGTGCAGCAAACTAAAACTCACATTTTCTCTTTCAAATGTACCAAATAAATTACCATGATGTTTTCAAATAGCTCATTTTTCAGATGTAAGAACACTCAGTTGCTTTTCATCATCAAAAACTCTGAGCTTGAGGGAGGCGAGCGGGGCTCTCGAGCTTTTGTTTATGCTGCAGTATACTTTGATCACGCGGGTTTGTTTGGCTTGATTGCGCTGGTGAGGGCAGATCCCACAGAGATGTATCTGCTCCACAGGGCTAAAGGAGAAAAGACACGGAGCTGGACTGACCGGATAACAGAAACACATTAATTTTCTGGGTTCTGCTGGCTGTGGGGGTTTTATGGATCTGAGCTGAAGAGAAAAGGTAATTTCAGTACAGATGTGAGCCACACACACACCATGTGGTGCAGTGTAAACATGTTTCTACTTTGTTTCTTACCATTGTTATGCAGCTTTCTATCTTTGTTCCCACTCTTCCATCATTTCAATCTACCATCCATTCATTGCTGCCTTTATCTCTTGCGCTTCTTTGCCCTGGCAGCAATTCCAATGATGCAACTAAGAAAACAGATTGACACGAACATTAGATAATGATCCGAAAACTCTGAAAGGGAAAAACAGAGAGAGATGTGGACATTTTAGCAAGACAAAATCTGAGACTTTTGAAGTTAGATTACACTCTAAAAAATGCTGGGTTGTGCCCAAAAATGCCCAAATGTTGGGTTAAAAATGTTACTTTAACTTTCACTTTCAACTGTATATTTTTTAATCACATTTTTAACCCAACATTTGGGTTTTTCAGTGCTGGGTTGTTTCAACCCAAATATGGGTCAAATATGGAAAAACTCAAATGTTGGGTAGTTTTTTAAACCAACATTTGGGTTTTTCCATACTGTATATTTTTAAATTACATTTATAACCCAACATTTGGGTTTTTCAATGCTGGGTTGTTTCAACCCAAATTTGGGTAAAATATGGAAAAAAATCAAATGTTGGGTAGTTTTTAACCCAACATTTGGGTTTTTCCATACTGTATATTTTTAATTACATTTTTAACCCAACATTTGGGTTTTTTAATGCTGGGTTGTTTCAACCCAAATTTAGGGAAAAAATGGGGAAAAAAAAAATCAAATGTTGGGTAGTTTTTTGATCCAACATTTAGGTTTTTCCATACTGTATATTTTTTTATTACATTTTTAACCCAACATTTGGGTTTTTAAATGCTGGGTTGTTTCAACCCAAATTTGGGTCAAATATGGAAAAACCCAAATGTTGGGTAGTTTTTTAACCCAACATTTGGGTTTTTCCATATTTAATCCAAATTTGGGTTGAAACAACCCAGCATTTTTTAGATTGTAGCAAGAATGTCTCATATATGCACTAGATGCATTGGTTTTGCTGGTAACCCAGCTACATTTGGTTCACTCTAAAAAAATGGTTAAAAACAAACCAATTTGGGTTGTTTTCAACCTAAGGGCTGGGTAAATATAGGACAGAACACATGTTGGGTTAATTATACCCAGAAAATTGGGTTATTTATTTAACCTAGCTTAATGGGTTCATTTTTACTATAATTTTCTTCTTTCTTTTTTTTACTTTATTCATTAATTAATGTCTAAGGATTAACTTAAACCAGCTAAACTTTTTTTATATACTCAATACAACCACTGGCTTGCATGATAATTCCTATATTTTCAATCATATTTTACAGTATAATATATTTCATATAATTTTGAAAACATATTGCCAACATATGAGCTTGTTTTAAGGTGAAACTAAAATTAGAATATTGTGCAAAAGTTTATTTATTTCAGTAATTCAACTTAATACATTATAGACCATTCAACTTAAAAAAACGAATACATATTACATGCAAAGTGAGACATTTCAAGCCTTTATTTGTTATAATTATGATGATTATGGCTTACAGCCTATGAAAACCTTTTCACAATATTCTATTTTGAAGTTGTGGTTTTCATGAGCTGTAAGCCATAATCAAACAAATTATAACAAATAAAGGCTTGAAATGTCTCACTTCGCATGTAATGAGTATATATTTGTTTTTGTTGAATTACTGAAATAAATAAACTTTTGCACAATATTAAAGTTTTTCGAGTTTCACCTGTATATTAGAAGTAAAAGTGAACAATTTATAAGTAATTCAAGTGTAATCAACCAGTCTCTGTTATCCCGTTTCCACCGTAACGGCGCTGGATCTCGAGTCGAGTGCCGGAGCGGGGGAACTTCTAACTTCAGACCGCCGCCCTGCGTTTTACTCTTAGTCAAAATATGCAGCGACAGGCTCTATACCTGTCCATAAACAATCAGTTTACAGTTCATATTTTAACATTATACATTAGCATTCTGTACCCTTTTTAATAAAATCATGAAATTTTATGCAAGGCATTAGGAGTTTCCATCACACGAAAAGATCGACGTCACACTCGTTTAGGTGACTCACGTTGCACCCCTTTATGTTGCTTTGCATATGATTAAATGATATACACCTCAATAACGAATTTATAGATTAAATGTACACAACCTGTATTTTACCGAAGACATGCAGCATTTTGACGGAGCTTTATTGCTCTCTCCTGAACAGTTCGCAAAAAGCGTGCGATAAATTACTCCCTGGGTTGTTATGTCTGACCCAAGATCTGGGTAACACAAGTAAACTACCCAAACACTGGGTTGTAACATCTGACCTAGAAACTGGGTAACACAAAAACTACCCAAAACAAAATGACCCGAAAGGCTCAACCCATGATTTGGATAAAAAATACCAATATACTCTGGGAACATTAGTTTTACACTAAATTAACCTACACCATGCCCTCATAGACACCTAATGATATTTGGAGCAAAACATGATTTGACCATTTTTGAACTTGTTAGCAGAGGTTTAAAAAAATAAAATAAATCACAAACCTGTCCACACACAAACCACGACACATAAACTGTGACACACGAACTTACCCACCTCCTTCACAGCTTGCAGTTGCAGGCCTTGAGGCTGATCAACTGTTCTGACCCAACAATGACAGACTCCTCCCTCCCTCCTTTACCAGATCGCTTCTCGCCTTGTCTCTTCATATCAAATCTCTCTGTGTGGCCACAGGCTGAAAGAGGTTCAGATGGTTTAAATGCTTCATTATCTTTTATTTTAACGGAGATTAGAGCGAGCCTGCGGTGGAAAGCGCAGCCTGTCGGGTCCATTCTGAACAGCTTCATTAAACGTCAGCCACTCTCCTCCATAAATATACAACATGCCTGCAGAGGACCGACCAGCAGAGATCGGCCCCTCCTGGGTCGTGATGCCGCAATAAAGTTGTAATGGAGGATGATTGACAGTTTGATCCCATGATCCTTCAGAAATCATTCTAATATGCTGACTTGGTGCTCAATTATAACTCCAAACTCTGAATGGTAGTGTATCACCGTTTCCATAAAAAATATTAAGCCACTTTTATGAGAAGTGATAATAATAAGAAAAACTTCTTGAGCAGCAAAACAGCATATAATTTCTGAAGTATCGTGTGACACTGGAGACTGGAGTAATTTTGCTGTAAATTGAGCTTTGCATCACAGGAATAAAACACAAAACAGATATTTTAAATTAAATTGTCAAACTATTTCACGACCAGTAGTGAACTTCTCTCTGAAATGTATCTGGGGAGCAAAATTTTCAGTGAATAACAAATGAAATGTATTCATTTTTTTGGGGAGTGAACTACCACTTTAAGTATGAGGTTTAATATGTATGTGTGTAAGCAAACTTGTAGAGCTCACCAGCAAATCTCAGATCTTTTGCTCATTTCCTCTGAAAGGAGCTCTAAGGCTTGAGCCCTAGAAAATCCAAAGAAAGGTTGGCAAATCCTATGGGAGAAATGGAAAATGGAGGAGATGAACTGGAGAGATATACAGTAGAGGGGGAGACAGGAGACTATGAGTTTTTTTTTTAATCAATCAAACATCATCACTTAAAATCACCCTAAACAACAAGCGGCGTCTGATTGGGCCGTGTTAATGCTCGAGCTCTTGTGGGATTTCACCGTAGCATTTCCACCTGTTTTCCAGAAATAATGAGTCTTCAAATCAGTGGGAAACCAACTGTGAGATGTTGTACACCTGTGGAACGAATACACGTCCTATTGCTTTCACTGTACGGCACACAAATGGTATCTCTGTTGAATTTACAAAATAAACCAATCATTTAACAAACACATTATCAGTTACAATCCCTGATAGCAACTATACAACAACAAGGTGTCTATTTGATGCGTCTCGTTTCATATGGAAGTCAATTTCCGAGCATTTGCCCTTCCTTCCTTCCTTCCTTCCTTCCTTCCTTCCTTCCTTCCTTCCTTCCTTCCTTCCTTCCTTCCTTCCTTCCTTCCTTCCTTCCTTCCTTTCTCCTTCCTTCTTTACTCCTTCCTTCCTTCCTTCCTCCTTTCTTCCTTTCTTTCTTCATTTCCTTACTCCTTCCTTCCTTCCTTCCTTACTCCTTCCCTCCTTCCTCTCTCCTTCCTTCTTTACTCCTTCCTTCCTCACTCCTTACTCCTTCCTTCCTTCTTTACTCCTTCCTTCCTCACTCCTTCCTTCCTTCCTTACTCCATCCTTCCTTACTCCTTCCTTCCTTCCTCACTCCTTCCTTCCTTCCTTCCTTCCTTACTCCATCCTTCCTTACTCCATCCTTCCATCCTTCCTTCCTTCCTTCCTTCCTTCCTTCCTTCCTTCCTTCATCCTTCCTTCCTTCATCCTTCCTTCCTTCCTTCATCCTTCCTTCCTTCCTTCCTTCCTTCCTTCCTTCCTTACTCTCTCCTTCCTTCTTTACTCCTTCCTTCCTTCCTTCCTCCTTTCTTCCTTTCTTTCTTCATTTCCTTACTCCTTCCTTCCTTACTCCTTCCCTCCTTCCTCTCTCCTTCCTTCTTTACTCCTTCCTTCCTCACTCCTTACTCCTTCCTTCCTTCCTCACTCCTTCCTTCCTTCCTTCCTTACTCCATCCTTCCTTACTCCTTCCTTCCTTCCTCACTCCTTCCTTCCTTCCTTCCTTCCTTCCTTCCTTACTCCATCCTTCCTTACTCCATCCTTCCATCCTTCCTTCCTTCCTTCCTTCATCCTTCCTTCCTTCCTTCATCCTTCCTTCCTTCCTTCCTTCCTTCCTTCCTTCCTTCCTTCCTTCCTTCCTTCCTTCCAACAGTGATGTTGATTTAAGGGTAGCTTCCTTAACAATCAAATATTGTACAGAAAGATGATGCTTAAAATACAATGTGATGCTTTCCAGATACACCTTTTCATTGACATCTGTCAATAATTCAGTCTAAAATAAAAGTAGCTTATACAGTAGTACAATGCCATATATGCACTCAAAAATTGATGCTTATTACAGTAAAAGCCATTATAAAGCATTTGGAATAATGAACAGGCCCTGTAAAGTGTTTCAGAATTAGGGTATAAGCTGTATTGGTTGGAATTTGTTGGAGGGAGGTTGAGAAAAATGAAGTTTTCTCCCAGTGTGCATGCTGGGATATCCAGCTGTCTGTCAATGCCACATCCTCCCTGTGATTAATGCCTGCGTGCTGTGGGGAAAACCGGGGCGGAAGGCAGAAAGGAACGGCACTATGTCTTTGTCTCCGAACCCGCACGACTGCACATCACCAGAACTGTTTGTACACTCTGTATCCTGCACAGATTTCCAGACAAAGAGCATTGAGTGATGACTTTTGAAGGAGCTTTTTGAACTACATCCTTTTGTGGGAGGAAATTACTCTTTGTGGGGGACAGGGCTGGGATCATGGCATAATTAGGACCCACGGAGAAGCTCGTAATTCATTAAAATCGGAAACAAAACTAGAAATACCTTGAATCAGATGTGTAATCTGGCCACCTCTCGTAAGGTAAATATTCAAAGTCGCATATTGATGTTTATTTTTGTTTTGTCACCACACAAATGTACGCTAACAAATATGAATGTACGAGTGGTGCATTTTCTCAGCCTTGCTAATCTTTTTCCTAGAAAGGCAGATACGAGCCTATTCAGTGGCACGGATAAAAGCCGTGCTTTTGTGTAGCATGATAACGTGGAGACTGAGCTGACGCGTTATCTGCCTCCTCTGTGGCTATAGCCTTCGTTCCAGGGTTCTTGCACTTAAGCGGTAGATTATTTAGGTGCCGTTCAATGTGTTCATTCACATCTCTTTTCTCCCACCATCATTTCCAATGCAGAGTGGGGAAATAAAGCTCGGTGTTAAAAATGAAAGCCCCTTAGAAAATGTCTCACCAGCCATTTGACTCAGTCTTGACAATTGTGAGTGCGGAACGGCGCACATGAAAACAGACGTGACACGCTGCATCTCGTTTTAAATGCTAAGTCTTTCTATAACTACACTTCTTAAAACGAGTCTGAGTGCAACTGAATAATTACCTAATGTTTATTCAATTGTAGCTTGGTGAATGAACGAGGACATTGATTATTCATATGGATATGGATTGGGGATTTTTTCATAATTCTTTGCCGTTTATTGTTTATCCTGCTCAAAAAACATGTTCAAACCAGCCTATGTTGGTTTTCTGGTCTAAGACGGTCCACCAGCCAGGCCAAACTGGTGTTTAGATGGTTTAGACTGGGGGGTCAGCTGGTTTCTCAGCCTGACAAGCTAAAAAGTGTCCAAAACCTTGTTAAAACTGCCCAGCCGATCATCTAAGACTAAAACAACAGGCCTAAGTTGGTTTGTCTAAGATGGTGTCCCAGCTTGGAACTGATGTTTAGCCGGTTTAGCTTGGCCAGCCAGCTGCTTCCCCACCTGACCAACTGAAAAATGCCTAAAACCCCTTTAAATCCAGCCAACAGACCACATTATAGTTATGTTTGTCTCGAACAGAAGCATTTCTCACACTCTTGGTCTTCAAGATATCTCATAATATCCTTCTGCTGAAACAACAACAACAACAACACCACAAAACTAATCATTCCAGCCAAGGCTGGTTTCTGGTCTAAGATGGTGTCCCAGCCTAGCCAAGCTGTTGTTTAGTTGATTTCATCTTGTTAAAACTAGCCAACCAAACACCATAGTCTAGAAAACAAGTTTAAGCTGATTTGTCGGTCTAAGATGGTGTCCGAGCCTGGCCTAACTTGTGTTTAGCTGGTTTAGCTTGGGCTCAAAACCCCTCTAAAACCAGCCAACCGACCTGCTGGAACACACATAAGGCTAGAAAACCTTCTTGTTTAAGACGCCTATATATGAAAGGCCAGGCCATAATTGTGTTTGTCTTGAACAGCAGCATTTCTCACACTGTAGATGGTGTCCTAGTCTGGTCAAACTGCTGTTTAGCTGGTTTAGCTTGGGCAGCTAGCTGATTTCCCAGCCTGACCAGTTAAAAGTGACCAAAAGTCCTCCAAAACCAGCCAATGGACCACACAGAAAACCAATTATATAGGACAGACCAGTCCTGTTTTTGTGTTTTCATACATCTGTCTCAAACAGAAGCATTTCTCACACCCTTGGTCTTCAAGTTCATATAAAGGAGTCCTGGTGCTCAGGCTCTCCCTGTGGCCTCTCTCTAAACCCAAAAGGCAGAAATGTAATATTATTAGTGGGCATCTGGAAAGGTTACCTCGTTAGAGAGAGATGGAGAGAAATTTAATTCAGGAACGCTGTGTTATTAGCACAAAAGCCAGCCACTAAAGGGCAGCAGAGTCCCTTCGAGGCCAATAGAAAGTAGCGTATGACTTTTATAGGGTTTAGATGATAAGAATGTTCCAGAATCGTATATATGGCTCTGTGTTTAGCAAGTGCATATGCTAACATAATACAACAATGTGGTGTTAGCATGATACAACTGGAAAGAACTGTATTAGCTTGCCTTTTTTGAGGCAATTTCTGACAGTCAACATCATTAAGCCCTTTGGGGGTAACACTTTATTTTACGGTGTCTGTGATACAGTATAATTACTTAATTACTTAGTAGTAGACATTGTAATAACATAACAAAATGTAGTTAACATGTAACTAAATTATGGAACAGCCTGTACTTACAGATTGTAATTACACTCATGTATTAGGCAGCTACTGTTACACATATGTAACAGGCCGAGTCGGTTACATACATGTATATTTTTAAAACAATAATATCTTAGAAAAGACCTTAAGTAGTATTGACAAACTATATATCATTTGAAAGCTTAAAATCTCTAGTTTCCATATTTGGGGACTGATGATTTGATGATTTTCAAAAAAAATTACAGAGGAGCCGTAATTTATACATTTTCAACAAGAATATTTCCATACTCCTAAGGTGTGGTCAGAAAAAAAAGAAAAAATAAGAAATTCACCATTTGTGATGTGGCAGGATGCCACAACGCACATGCATGTTCTTTATTTGTCTTTCTTAGAGGTTGAATTCATATCAAAATCTGCCAAACTTCACGTACTACTTCTGAATAGGATGTCTACTTCATAAATTGTATGAAAATTGTGGAAATAATGGTTCAGATCACTTAAAACACATATGGAAATGGAGGCGCCCTTATATGGGCAGTAATGGATGGTTGTGCCCTAGTGAAAACGTTTGGTACTGCACCCAAACAAAATCTTACTGAAAGCTAATTTTTTTTTTAGAAATCAACCTAACTTGTTCAGATTTTTGGCTTTGATTTTTCTGCATTTTTAGAGTAACCCAGGTTTTGAAAAAATATATTTTATATAAAATATGAATAATTCTTTTTTTTTTTACATTGTACATTTCCATAAACTCAAACTTCTATAACGTTTTTCTGTTTCACTTTCTTAATTTATTTCACTTCTACAAAAATCTGCCAAATGTCTTCTTTAAAACAACATCTATATTCCAAAGCATCCTTGAATTACAACCATTTAAGTTCGAAAATTGCATTTCCATGTCTATTCAAAAAAGGGGGACAGTTAACAGGTTAAATGTGTTACTAAAAAACCTGCAGTTACACATGGTCATTTTGTACCCTCTAAAATAAAGTGTATCACGGTTGTACTTAAGTGCACTTCATGTGTATCTACATACCTTATCCATCTGAATAAACCCCAGTTCACAGTTTAAATACATGCAGTAGCTTCTTAATTACATTGCAATTACATAATATTACACAGGTATAAGCTACGTAAAACAAAGTGAATCAAGATTGTACTTAAGTGTACTTCATGTGTATCTACATACCTTATACACATGACGTACACTTAAGTACATCTTGATACACTATTTTAGAAGGTACAAAATGACCATGTGTAACTGCAGGCTTTTTTCATGGTAACATATTTAAGTACTTGTTACATTGAGTAGTAGCCTACAAAGTACTATAATCTTCAGTCATGTTACAACACTTGATCCAGCAGTAGGGAAGACCGGGGCAAGTTGTCACACAGTTTAATCAACTGGATATTTCTCAGGATATTTGTTTAGTATAACATTTCTAGTGTTCACCACTGTTTTGGGGTCAGTACGATTTTAAAATGTTTTTCAAAGAAGTCTCTTATGCTCTCCAGGGTAAACAGTTTTCTATTGTAATGTATTTTAAAATGTCATTTATGTGATAGTACTTTAACAAAACAATTAATAAACAACAAAAATGAGGAAACATCTAAATATAAACGTGCTATGAACTCATTTTATGTTAAAGCGAGCGAATCCAGATGTCCTAATGTTCCTGAAAATTGACCCCAGACTGAAATAAAAGGCTCCTTTTCCCCTCATCTCTCTGTAGAGGAATGTATTTGCATATGCAAACAGCTCTGATATCAGCTGTGTAATCTAACAGCACACACTGAGCCAGAACTCAGCATTTGATGACATGTTTTAGTGTTGTGCTTTACCACAGACGATTTAATGGTACCTACAGCCTTTTTAACCCACACCTACCAACCACCCTGATACTTGATCGGGTTGCCGTGGAGATGGTTCTATCATCATAGAGATGATGTTATCACCGTGGCAATGGTGCTATCTGCGGCGCCCATCTCTCTCTGTGGCCCCTGGTAATCAAATGAAGAATATGTGCTCGGTGGAGCTTTGTGAGATTAAGCTTTAAATGAAAGACGAGTTTAAGAGCAGGATGGAGAGGGAGCCGGGGGGACAGAGTATAGATTACGAAGCCTCTGATCAGTTGGAAATGTGCATTCATGTAAACACACACACACACACGTAAACATGTAGTTGGGGCCCAAAAGTCAGAGTCAACATTGAAAATCTTAGGATGCAAAATCAGATTTAAAATACTATAATAGTTTTAGGATTCTGAACAAAGTTTTGGTAACACTTTACTTAACGTCTTTATGTAAACGTATTTATAATGTATTAATTATGTCCTGTAATGCAGCTTATTATGGATTGTATGCTTTCAATAATTGTTATAATACAGTTATAATACATTATAATACCCATCTATTAATGTCTATCTTTAGAAAGTATAATGCATTAAGTAAGTAAATAAATAAATAGTCTATAAAAGTCTCTATTAAAATAATTGTTTTCCCTGAAAATTATTAGTAAAGTTTTTTCTGCATTTTTTTTCTAAATATATATATTTTTTCCTTTAAATTATTAATATTCAATTAGTTAATGTCATAATATTTGGTTACCTTTGCTCAGAGTAAAATCGCATCAAAGTTTTCTAATATATATATATATATATATATATATATATATATATATATATATATATATATATATATATATATGCAAATGCAAATAGTGCAAATATTTATATTTTTATTAAAATCTTTATATTAAACATGTTGTAAACATATCTATATTAAACACAATTTTATATAGTATATTTTATATAGTAAATCAAACATGCTTCAACATGATTGACTATGGGTGGATAATTTAAATTTTTTTATTCTTCTCCAAAAAAACAAAAAACAAAAATCATTGTTAATGCATTGTTAATATCTTGCACTAGTAGTGTTAGTACTTTTTTAATAGTTATAATTTAAAATCCTTGTAACATTTTTCATTTTGTCTTTGATATTGTTGAAGAAAAATATTTATCACATAATTTCAGGAAATAAGATTCAAACTGCCATAGACGGTCAAATTTCCTTCCATAATTTGTAATTGTTTTTTTTTTTTTTAAAAAAGGTCTCAGACTTTTGGACTTTATATTCATGTACTCATCTTATCATGCAACTCTGCAAACACACACACACAGACACACACACACACACACACACCATTCAATTACTGGAATACGAGTCTATACAGCCTGAACACAACTGCAAACACTCTCTCTCTCACTCCTGTACAAGCAAGCCATCAATAAAATTAGCACGGAGGGCTGCAACATTGTTTACGACCTTCAAAATGACATTGCAGGCCTCGTCTGACTGCAATCCTCGTGCACAACACCGTAAATCTGAGCCCATCTTTGCTGCATTTTTTATAAACCAAGCTTAGTTGCGGTCATGATGAACGTAAAGTGTGGAGCTCAAAAATATACCTGCACTTCAGATTCATTTTAATTACATTAGCTGCTCGGCTTTCATTTAAACCCCCCCCCCCCCCCCCCGCCTCCTTATCAACCCTATAACAAGCACAGATGGACGGCTAAATAAATGATCATTATGCGAGCACAAAAGGATGAGCATCACTGTAAACATTTTGATTGATGCAGGTTGGGAGTTATTCATCTAATAAGAGAGTCTGTGATTAGGAATCAGGACATGTTTGGTATCATGTCAGTGTGTGTTTTATCTTCCTGTATCTGTTCCTGCAACTCTACTGGGACTTATTGACATTACTGTGTAACATCCATTAATCAAATCGTGCCTATTTCCACCGCATCTGAATTTTTGGTTGGAAAAACAAGCACAAAACAACCACCTTTAACTGGGAGTCAGTGTAAGCTTACGGTTTTTGGATTCTAAACCAAACCTGATTTATGAATTATTTTAAACCAAGTCACTACTGAATGTACCTTATGCTCTAAAAATGACATGAAATTGGTGCCCGGCTACACACAAACATATTATGAAGATAAGAGCAAATCTTGTATAATCACGTATAATCTGTATATCACTGCTAAATTATTTTAGAAAATAATTTTTAATCAATTATCAAAATTCATTATTCAGAATAACACATTATCCCCATATCAATCTGGCTTTAGGCCTAATTTGTCAAAAACCACAGCTTTATTGAAGTTCACCAATGACATTTTCTCCGCTTTTGATACGGGACAGCAAACTGACCTTTCTAAAGCCTTTGATATGGTGGATCATTACGTTCTCCTTGACAAGCTTTATGCAAAAGGTTTGAATCAAAGTGCTCTGTGGTTTAATTCGTATCTTCACAATAGACGGCAGTGTGTTGCTTTTCAAGGTTCACTATCTGATTATTTATTGGTTGATAAGGGGGTTCCTCAAGGTTCTAATCTAGGACCCCTTTTGTTCTCGATTTTCACTAACGATTTATCGCACATTTCCTCCATTGGTAAGGTTCATCTTTATGCTGATGATACCGTAATTTACACTGCTGACTCTGATATTCACTTTATCCAGAACTGGTTATAAGCTGACTTTATTATGACTCAAAAATGGCGTCATAATGACAACTTATTGTTGAGTATGGAGTCCGGTCCCACTTTATATTAGGTGGCTTTAAGTACTATGTACTTACATTTAAAAATAAGTACAATGTACTTATTGTGCTCATGTTGTATTGTAAATCACTTTTGGTGCTATTGAGGTGGGATACGGATAAGGTTAGGGACAGGTGTGGTGGTATGGGTAGGTTTAAGTGTAAGGGAAGGGATGGGTCAGCTGTGTAATTACATATGTAATTACATAAATTAATTACGCCAGTAATTACATGCTGGTATTTTTTAAATATAATTACAATGTAAAAACATGTGTGTACACAATAATTCCTTTGTATCAAATTATTAATTTCAATGTTGGTACTTAAAGCCACTTAATATAAAGTGTGAGTTTTAGCAACCTGTGATGTTGTGCTGTTGAATTAACAATTCATTTCTAATTTTAAGTCTGTGCCCTTGGGAGATTCCTTCCAATGTGTTGTTTACTTGAGCCACACAAATGCACACTCTGGATGCGTTCACCTCTCACCTCGATCCTCCCCGGTGTATCCTTGAGTAGTTACTTCCTCTTGTTATTTAAAGAAAACTCACAGCACACACTGAGCCACTGACAACTGCAAGAAAAGGCCATTTGATCTCAGTACCTTGGAGAAAACACATGCACATTCATGTACACACATACTCACCATAACAAGGACACGACCGCAGACTTTTTGTACAGACATTTGTATCTGAGAGTGCGGACATGGGGAAACGCCTCAGGACGGGTCTGTCTTGTTGGTCGAGGCGTGTGACGTCTCCCGTTCGCTCTCACTAGGGGTCAGTGGAAGGTTCTAATTAGGTCCATGGTGGCAGTGACTATATGATTCTACTGCTGTGGTCACCTTCAACTCCCAGCTGTCATCAAGTAGTCCCACGACAACCCATTAGAAAACACACACACAGTCACATACAGAGACAGAAGTGTCTGTCACCAATCTGTCGTCATCTCTGTTCCTCGGCTTTCAACTGCTCCAGATGCATTAAAGTCAACGTTATTTAAAAGTAAACAGACCTCAATTACATCATACAAAAAATGTAAATATTGTCATCATTACTCACCCCCAAGTTGTTCCAAACCTGAATACGTTTCTTTCTTCTGCTGAACTCAAAAGAAGATATTTTAAAGAATATTGGTATAATCAAGCAGTTGAGAGTAGCCATTGATTTTCATTGAAGGAAAAAAAAAAAAAATAATACAATGGAAATCAATGGGTGTCATCAACTGTTTGGTTACCAACATTCTTTAAAATATCTTCTTTTCTGTTCAGCAGAAGAAAGAAACTCATTCAGGTTTGGAACAACCTTGAGGGTGAGTAAATAATGAATACATTTTTAACCAACTCTTTAAAGCCATTCAAGGACAGTCGGATCCAAAGAAGGGTTAACAGGTTATTAACAAAACAGTACAACATAACAAATCTACTTTGTCTACTCTTTGAATAGCATTATGGTATGGTAAAAATCGAACACTATGGGAACAGCTTTCTTACCTGTATGCAACACTATTTTGCTTCTGGCAGGACTGATGGAATGGCAGTTTCTTTCAGATTTTCCCCTTCATTTGGCCTAAAACACTATGTTTGTGGCCATCCAGTTGGAAGCGTTGACTCCAAACACAGTTTTTCGTGGAATTCTCTCCATATTTACTTTTGGAGTCTTTGCTGCCATTAGCCACTGCCTACAAAGCCTTGGAACCCTTATCGGAAATCAAAAGTAACTCACTCCCGCTTAAAGTTTACTCTTTGAATTCGAGCACCTAGAAACATGACAAGTCGAGACCATTATGACAAATATTTTCTTAAGAATTATTTCCTAATTCCTACTCAAAGCTTTATTTGACTCCGGTTAAACGTATCCATAGCAGACTGGTGAGAGTGGCATTGGATGGCAACATACCCATTGCATTATGGGGGTTGACATTTTCCTACGTATTTGGCATAGCCATTGGCCAAAGACAACAATTGGGGAAGACAACAGACATTTTTACTTTAATCAGGTAGCACCATCTTCACTTCATAAAAACAACAACATTATTGTCATTACAGCCGAGACACCATAGCAATGTCCAATTTGTGACCGAATCATTTTTTTTAAACTCGATTCTTTTGAATCTGTTGACAGAATGATTCATTCGTAAAAAAAAAAAAAAAAAAAAAAAAAACGTTTAAAAAAAAAGGTTTTCTGTGTTTCAGCCAATTATTTAAACGACAATGACATTTTGCGGGCCTGAAAACCCAAACTTTTGAAAACAGGTTTCACAAGACCTTTATCGTCTCAGTGTAAAAAAAAAAGAAATAAAAGAAGCTAATTAGTGAACACAGTGACGTCATGCATGCATATCATGTGCTATAAGCACGTTGTAACATCGGGGCCAGAAATAAAGCGGAGAGCGAATCCAAATGCAAGCACTTTTAATTAAATGAAAAGGTAATCCAGGGTAAACAAAGAAACTAGGAACAAGGACTTCAAAATGTTATCATGGGATAAACAAAGAAAATCAGAACAGGGCTACAAGCAACAACGAACGACAACCAACAACTGAAGCACAGAGGTATAAATACACCTACAAATAAGCTAAACAAGATAACAAGGGGGCAGGGCTGATTAGAAACCCCTGGAGAGACTCATCAACAAGAAAAACTACAAAGGACTACAAAACATGGCAGAGAACAGGAAATAACTAAAGTCCACACAAGACAAGGAAAACATAAGACAGGAATCATGACACACACTTTTTCTTTACAAAATTACATCAACCTGACCCGGCAACAATCATGCAGCTTCCCTAAACAGCCAAAAAGCTAAAATACGGGTCATTATTGCTTAGCGTGATGTGCCATTTTAGACTGGCCGGCAAGTTCGTCAGAGAAAAAGAGTGGAAAGATTACTTGAAAGGTTACTCAAGTCAACCTATCACAATACATTATTAATACGTGACAAATGACATCCATTTTGCGACCATTAAATATACACTGATACCGTGTAAAGGCACATCTCGGCCTATAAAATAAGGAGGTGAGAGTGTGATGGTCATGGGAATCATTTTAAATCACTACAAAGTGGTGGGGATAGTGCAGTGATGTGATATAAAATTATCATAATGTCATACAATTATGTCGTTGTTTTATCACTGTACTTTGAAGAGCGACTTCAGTCCTACGCCAAAGAAAAGCACAGAGAAAAAGTGTGTGAGTCAGTCTGAATCAGATCAAAGGCAAACACCTTCATTGGCGGTCTCCATAATTCAGCAGCTATTGCATGGGGTCCGATTTGAGTCGCGAACGTGTAGATGCATCTTTAATACAGGCCTTCCACAGAATAGTGATGGAGTCAGTCATGAGGAATGTCTATTTGTGTGTGTAAGAAATAGATATTGAGAGAGAGCAGAGGGTATATTGAGAAAGGGAGACACAAATGGTGGTGGGAGTTTTCTCAGAGGGTTTTTTGCGATCCGAGCAGGACATGAGAGAACAAGCTCTATAGCCCAGCGGAGAGCCCCTTCACGCTATTCAAACATTTACTATGAGGATTTAATGAGGAATGAGAGGTTGATAGATTGAAAGACATGGAACTGTACAAGACATTGCTTTCAGAAATCAAATTTCTGTCCCACTGCTCGTTCCCTTCATGTATTATGTAATGGACCTACTCTACTATTCTCTAGATTTCAAATACAAGCGCGGAAGCCAAGACTTGAGGGATAGTTCACCCTAAACATAAAACACTGTCATCATTTAGGCCTGCTCACCCTCACGTTGTGGAACACAAATGAAAAAATAATACAAAATGCCAATAATGGGGGGTAATTAACCCAAAAAAGCTCCATGAAAGTAATCCATATTACAACGAGAAGCTTCTCCGTTATAGTTCTCATGGTCTATGTGGTGTTTTTAATATACTTTAAGACAAACCATGTGCAAAATCGCTTGTGTTTCTATCATCGAACCTAACCTTGCAGTCACGACAACGTGTGATCGTCAATGAGTGGATCTCTGAGCTGGTGAGTGGGGGCGTATTGCATATTCATAGAACTAAATACCAAATGAGGTTATTTTCGAGCCAATTTAAGGCATGAATAATTTCTTTTCAAGGAAAAAAAACCTTTAAATATTTCATTTTGGTGATCAAAGATGAGGGTAACACTTTACTTGAAGGGGAGTGCAACACTAACATGACACCTTCATAATCGTCTTGAATATGAAGGAAGTTTTATGCATGTTTGTGACAACTGTTAAGTGTTATTCGCTCAGTCATGACATTTTTAATGCAAATATGACATTGTTTGTTATGACACCTTGAAAAACCACAAATTCAATTAGTACCACTGTATTTGAGGTCACGAAAAATATTCATGACACAGTTATAATGGCCTCAAGACAGCCAATGTCAAAGCCGATCACATGACAGTTTAACTTCATTTAATGTCAAGTTGTCATGACAAAGACACCGACAGGTTATGACAATTATGGTTTAAACAATGTCATATTTGCATTCAAAATGTAATTATTGAGCGAAAGACACATAATGACAGTTGTCATAAACATGCATAAACCATACTTCATATTCAAGACGTATGTCATGGTTATGAAGGTGTCATGCCAGTCTTATGCACACCCCTTCAAGTAAAGTGTTACCGTTTTGGCGTAACTGTTTTTTCCATGATTCAACTAAGGAACATAATAAGCCAACGCGACGTCATTTTGGTTTTACCAATAAAGAAAAAAAAAAAACAAGTCTATCATCAGTTCTGACAAACTCTTGGGGCCAGTTTTGATAATGTAATCCGGTTGCGCATCAAAGTCGCCTGAGAACATGAGGTCGCCTAGTCCCATTGTGTGTGTTACTACCCAGACTAACATTAACTGTTCACTGATGGCAGAAAATTGAGCGTATAGCGAGCTCAGTTCCATGCCTCTAGGGCCCCAGATCACTAATCATTTGATGCTGAAAGCAACCGCTCCCTCTGCAGCAGGAACGAAGGGTCAAACGCATGTTAGAAGCGAGCTGCTTCTAACGCAGGACACGTCTCTCCCCACGTGCCTCTGAAACAGCAGGGGACCCCATCAAGAGCGGGAAGAGAGCAGTAGAGGAGAGGAATGAAATAATTTCATCTCCTGCACTGTAATGCTCCCTCTTAAATCAGCCTGTGAGGAGTGTGCCAAGGCTCTGGGAACGAGAGGGAGGCGAGCTGGAAAGAGAGACAGCGGTAATATCGGCCCCAGCTTTGATGAAAGATCTCAGGCAGTGGACACACAGAAACAGATCTATAAACAAGTGGACAGATCTATAAATAGGGAGCAGGAGGGAGAGAGAGAAAGGGATGGAGAAAAAGATCAGGAATTAGATTTTTTTTTCTGGAAGAACACTCTCATTTACATTTCTTATCTGATGCTTTTATCCGGGCGATTACAAATGTGGGGACATCACAAGCAATTTGTCAAAGGATCACAGGTTTTTGATCACATTCTTTGGAGGAAATGATTTTTTTTTACATTTTGGGAGTAAAACGATCGACCGCTTTGGGAGTAAAACGATTGAACATTTTAAGTATTCTAAATAACAGAGTATTTTCTAACTTTTTCCATAATTTCACCATTACAGCTCGAATGGAAATGTCAGATAAAAAAAGGATGTTCAGTGACATTTATCTAGATTTTTTTTTACTACTAAAATACTATAAAATTGGGCAGAAATGAATAGTGTCATGGAAATCAGCCGAGGGATGGTTGAAATATACATAGGCTATATATATATATCATCCAATATGTATATGTCATCCAAATTGTCCATGTATTTCTTTCTTCAGTCGAAAAGAAATTAAGGTTTCTGAAGAAAACAATCCAGCATTTTTCTCACTTCAGTGGGAACCAAACGCTTCAAGGTCCAAAATACACTTTCAGTACAAACTGCAAACTGTTCAACGGGTTTTAAACGATTCCAGACGATGAATAAGGGTCTTATCAAGCGAAATGATTGCTCATTTAAAAAATAAATAGCAAAGTTTAAGTTTTATTAGCTCAAATGCTCGCCTTGCTCTGTTCTGTGACGCACGTTTGTGACTCTCCCGTTCGAACTCGTTCATCAAAATGAACAAATCTTTTTCCGAGTCATTTGGTTTTTTCAACGAACGAAATAACCGAATTGACTCGGAAAAAAGATCGTTCGAACAGAGTTCGAACAGGAGAGTCACGAACGTGCATCGCAGTACACAGCAAGGCGAGCATTAAAAACTTAAAGGAGAACTTAAAAGCGCAAAATGAACCTTTGGTCTAATAAAACATTGGTACCAAGTCAATCGTTCTCTAAAAACTGTTTAGCGTATAATGCTAGTACTGGGGGCATTTACTAAGTAAAAAGAAATTGCTAGTTTATACCACTACATAACAAGGCTCAAAGTAACCCCACACTAACACAGTAACATAATGAGGGTCCATACATGCAAAACGAAGCATTGAGAAATGTATAAATGAACAGACCATTTTATTATCAGCAAAAGTTTTTTGAAAAGTGAACTACTCCTTTAACAAAAATAAATGGGATACAAATTTGCTTGATGTTCGAGAAACACACACTTAGCACAAGTTGTTAAACCCAAACAAGCTTGCATGTTTAACTTATTTCTTCCAGCAAAGTCTCTCTAAAAAGCCTGTTCCAATCGAATCTCTGATTTTTTTGGCCTGAAAAACATTAACATTACATATTCCTTCACAGTAAAATATTAAGATGCTGCAATCCACCACATGTTGCAATAACATAACATTTGATTCAGAAACTAGGGATGA